GAAGACATCAACCTGTTTTCTACTCAACCTCCAAGATTTGATTCATAGTAACTGAAAAGCTGCACTGGTAAAAAAAAGTCTGCACTAATTGCAGGTACAATAGATTGATTCAAGTGCACAAGTGAATACAATAGGCCTCATCATGTTGAACATCTGAAAAAGTCAACTACATCCATTTTAAAATTAATTAGACAATTGCAAGAGCTTGATTTTTTAAACAATTATGAAAACAATTTCTTGATTGGGAAAATCTAAGTTGAAGTTAAGTAAAAGACAGCTGGGTTGATTGGGTCAAATATCGGACCCTACAAACACTTAGCAAAATCCCTGACCTCACAAACACAGAGATAGTTTCAACAAACAGTATGAAAGCATTTTAGGAAACGTTGCCATGTGTGAAATAATTGTGACCGCTGTTAATTAAAGGTAAAGTACAATCTGCCAATTGAGCTTATACAATTTATGTAGTTATATATTCAGAACTATATTAAGCTATATATCCACCAATAATTAATAGCAGTATTGAGCTATACTACCAATTTAAACAAAACAAAAAGCAAAAACACATAAAACATAAGCTATAATGGTATTGCTTACTACGAAAAGCATATATTTGTCATGAATATTTTCCATAAATTTAAATTCTTTTTTATTTCTTTACATCAACATTTTTTTTAAAAAGAACACATACAATTTATTTGACAGCCTTTGACACTAACCATTTATAGCAGGGAGACCACAGGTCTCTCTATAAAAAAATTGTGAGGGCCCTGCTGAAATTGTGGTGGCCCTGATAACCTCGGCCAAAGCCCGAGCGAAGCGAGATTGCAAGCGCCGAAGGCGCGAAGCCGTGAGCATCGTAGGCGCGAAGGCTAGGGGGGTCTGGGGGCATGCCCCCCCCAGAAAATTTTGAAATCTAAAAGCTCTGTGGTGCATTTTGGTGTTTTTTGAAGGGAAAATAATGTAATAAATTTGTGCTGTTTTTAAGGGTTTTTTGGTGTGCATTTTTTTAAATTTAGTATTTTCAGGGGGTAAAATCAACTTTTGTTTCTTCATTCTGTTTAGATTTCAAAATAATTGAAGAAAAACTTTGAGTCAAAAGTGTTAATCTTTATTTAGATAACATAAGTCTGTAGGCTTTTCTTTGAAGCTCTATCAGATCTTTTTTACACAACAAATCGTCGCCGTCACTCTCCGACTCCCCCGCATCTGTTTCTGTTTGGTGCACTTCTTCCTCAACATCGTATGTCAACCATCTGAACATACCCTTCCACTCCTGTTGAAAGCTGCGTTCCCGTTTTGTTTTTTCATAGAGGTTTTGCGTCTCCCTCTTTTCGTCCGTCGTTTTGGCCTTTTTAAGAGGCGGGGGAGATGTTTCTAGCCACTTAAACAGCGACATTGTTGACCTCTAGGTTGTTCGCAGTCGTATACACGCTTGACTATCGGTTGGTAAAATCATCATGCGATTCAAACGCGCCGACGACGACTCAGATGTAAAATTAATCGGTTTACGCACCTCACATGCTGATGTGTGATTACGACTGGATTGTGCTCGAAGAACCCGAACGATTTCAGGACAGTAATTTGTAAATCTCGAGACGCGAATGTCTTTTACTCATTAGTTGTTTGTGATCAAAATAAAATGCAAGTAACTGAATCTTGGGATTAAGTAGGACAACAAATTGGGGGGACCCGACGGTCCACCGTGAGCACAATATTAGAGGGACCACCGTGATTTTAGATGGCCTCGGGCACCCGGACCAACGTTAGTATGGAAGGCTGAAATATTGGTGTCTTGTGCTTTCACCATTGTGATACAATCTTTTTTTAAAAAGGGACTTTATGTAATTTTCTTTTAGAAACGAGATAAAAGACAGCTTGAAATAGCTATCTCAGATACATATAGCTTGTTACAGCTATTGGTCTTTATAGCTATGAACACTGTATAGCTCAATTGGTAGATTATACTGGACCTTTGAGTATTTTGATATGTGCTAGCCTATAATCTTGTTTCTTTATCATAACAGTTGTCCAATGTGATATATGGCTAGGGGTGACTACTCGGCACAGTTTTACTATTGCCATACTAAGTCATAATTACAAATGTGATAGTACTTGTATTGCGATAATGGAAAAACTATTGAGTATTTCAATGGTAATGCAATAGTCATGACATATAGTTTGAAGAACATTTTTGTCCTATCTTTAATTCATAATTGTTAATTATCACTGACATTTTTAGAAAGGAAATGATAACAGTAGTACAGGGGTGTAAAAAATAATTTCAGACACTAGCCCAAATTAATTCGAAATTTCACACTGGAACAACACCATTTTGCAGATTATCCCTAAAAGGGTGGTTTAGTATTCTTCTTAATAGAAAAATCTATTCAGTTGGGATCACTACAGTAATGGTAAGTCACTCCCATGTAATTTGCATAATGGCATGGCTCAGGTGGGAAATTTCAAACGGTTAAAACTGAGGACTCTATCGACAAAACGTACTAGCAGGTGGTGATAATAAGGGTGGTTTTGGATAAATATGTAACAGGAGGAAGAGAAATGCAATGGCCAGACTGGGTTTCGAACACAGGACCCTCCAAACTCTAGGCTCATGCTCTACCATTTGAGCTACCTGGTCGCCGACATTAGACCCAGCCGAGTTCCACTGCATTCCTCCCTCCCTTTTTTAAGTCTTCACCCCCAAATACAATGCTATTTACAACCAAGGCTCAGGTATCCCCTTGCTAAGCATTCACCCTCTGTTTAAATAAAGGGTTGACAAACTCTCCAAACGGGAGAAAGAGAAATGCAATGACCAGATCAGGATTAAAACCTGGAACCAGTCTGTTCATCAACTTTTCCTTAAAAAAAAGGACACAAATTTATTCCATTTAGAAACCCCATCCCCATCTTTTTACTTCAAACACAGATATAACTAGGTACATTGTGTTCCAAAGCCATCACATGTACAGTTAAAAACCATGGTAACTCAATCACATGGAGTCCCAGGGCTCACGCTGTCGGTAGCCAAAGTAGCCATTGGCTACTTTTATTTTTTATTGGCTACTAAAAATTTGATGTGGCTACTAAAAATTTGATGTGGCTACTAAATTGACTACTGAGTTTTTAAAAATGGGGAAACTTTGTATCTTTGTCGCAGAAAACGATCCGTCTACTCAACCTCACGTGTGTATTGTGGCTGACACTGATTGCGTAAACATAATCAGGGCCGTCACAGATCAGCGTGCGCTGTAGGACTGCAAGTTAATTAATGCTTTTGTCTACGTTGTAAAGTCGATTATCAAGCTTCAGATGGCAAAAGGTGTTCTTGTACAATAATGGACAGTGGGGGTCAAGTTAATTGGATGACCCTTTGACATTGAGAAAACAGTCTGATAAGCGAGTCACACATAGTTGGTTTTGCACACGTATATTTGACGGCGCCGTAAGCCGATCTGATAAACTCGTTCAAACACTGCATCCAAAAAATTTACGGGTTCAGTATATCTAAATAAGTGTACATGGTATTCATTTACTTTTTTTTCAGTACCATAGTAAGCACAAATACGCCTGATATGCTTGATTAGAAAGTATAAGTATCGCCTTGAAACACCATGTCGGATAGTCGATTTTCGGCCTTTCAGATAACTTCAAACGATAGGCCCTATATCGTATCTGACTGTGTACTTTCGTGGTTAGACGTTTTAGAATTTCAAGTTATTTAGCATCACAGTTATGCAGTTTTTAGAACAGCAAACCGTTAAGAATTACTTCGACGGTCGCTTGTATTAGGTGCCAATCGACGACACGTGCACGGGAATGGCCACGTTGCGCGACGTGATGTGCTCCCGATTTATTTCGAAGGGTTGGTCAATACTGTTATAAATTTGTCCTTTTCCTTTCAAATGTGTTCTACTGCCATTTACATATTTTTTTTTTTACATAAAACATGAATTACGGTGAATGTAAGTAAACAAAGGAAAAATAATTATCAATATTGCATCACTGAGGCTACTTTTGATTTGGATTTTATTAGTTTTATTTTTTGATTGAAGGCACAGAATTAATGGCGAATAATATCTTATTTGAACTTTTCAAGCTAGATTTTTTCACAATTCCTGTGTCAAATAAAAAGTTGGAGGAATACATGGTATTTGACGAATCCGATGTTCGTCGTACATTGTCATGTTTTGATCAGGTGGGACGATAGACAGGAAGAGCACGGCAAATATCAAGGAGAGTAGATGATAGGAGTTAAACAAGAAGTTTAACAAAGATGACAACATTAATAAGGTATGACATTGCTCAACAATGAAACATATACTGACAGGGAATTTGAGCAATAGCAGTTTAAGCAATCTGAGGAATATTATAAGAACCAGTCGGGACCAAGCAATCTACTTGAGCAAGTGGGGTTTCACTGTATGTATAGCAATATTGAGTAAATAATCTCAATATTTTGAATTAGGTGGAAGTACCATTAGTCACATCTCACTATATTAGCCAAATTTGTCCATATCAATCCGGTGCTCCTGCAAAAACTAGACATTGTTCTGCTGCATGCTGCTCACAAAAGAAAAGGGTGTCTCTAAAAGTAATTGGTCACCTTGAGTCACTTATCATGTTATATGAGACGCTTAAAACAACCAACAGTCGGAGGGTTTCGACAGCCATTTACAGAAGGGTAATGCACGGTCCAGCGGCTGAATTTCCATTGTAAACAAATGTACTGTACAGTACAGTACATTTTGACACTCGGACCTCATGTTTCATTCCTTACCACTTGTGCTATTTTTGAGAATTAACATGTGTCGTTACACCAGCTCTAATGGTATGTTTCGAGTTCACCTACCCTTTGATATAGTCCACAGGTTAACTTTTCATTGTACCTTTAGCATGTTATGAAGAAAGTACTGTTTAATCGATCGTCTGGTGCTCGTTGACTCTCTGACGCATGTGTGAGCGGAAGTCAACAAGCTACTGTTTCCTGTTGTAAAAGGGAGGTTACTCTAACCAGTGTTTATATTTTTTTCTCGCGGGAGTATTTCGAAGCAATGTCTGCTTTGAAAATAGGGACGTGTCCAACACTTACAGAATCAATCCATAGTCGACTTAGAGAAGCTGGTATAAAGACCGTCACTGATCTGATTGTAGCGGACGTGGAGATGTTATCACAGAAGAGCGAAATACCGTATAAGGTTAAAAGACTATTTTAAGTCTTCTTTTTTCCCAAGCACTATTGCAGCTTGGAATGATCTTCCTGAGGCAATTTGCATGTCACCCTCCCTAGAATCCTTCAAAGGTGGTATCTCCACCTTAACATTTGGAGAATCCTGTCTGGCTATTTAACTATAATTGTATTTAAGCCACTGTACATAATGTGAATATGTTAAACATAAGCTACAACTAATGTTATTTTAACGGTTGGACTGTGGCTAGCTATGCCCAACTATTTTTTTTTAAACCAAAAGTGATTTATTTCTTGTCATTTTCCTAGAGACTATAATAACCTGATTACAAAACAGCAATCAGAACCATGTTATCTTCAAAATTGGATTTTTACGAATTTTTTGAAATCGTGAAATTTCACAATTGTTTTTTTAGCATTTTCCTGAAAACAATCAAAAAAGCGTACAAGGTCAATAACATGGTATATATGGGAGAATTTTTTTTCTCATTTTTTTACCACAATTTCAGAACCAATCTATTCTATTGTAAAATGAAAGATTTCCATGCTAAATATCACCCCTCACTCCGGAGATGATGCTAAAATGTTACTTCACAAAGAGTTACCTCCCCTTACAAAACACAATGAATGACATTAATAATCTCATTTAATTATATATATTGATGCACCAGTCTCAGTGGTAATTACACATCTTCTTTCTTATCGTTCGCCTTTACACTTGAATACCAGTCTCCTCAACAAATCTGGTGGTCTTCTGTGCTAAGGGCATCCACTGGTCCACATAGCTTTTCTTTGAGTGGTAACAGTTGGTGAATGCCATATCTTATCTCTCATGATCAGTGCCTGATGGATCTTCCATGACTGTAAGAGGTGTGCAGTATCCTGCTCTGCTTCTCCACAAGGACACATTGGAGATGAAACAACTTTCATGACTTTGTATAGATGTTGATTGAGTCTGTTGTGTCCTGTCGGAAGATGGTAGTTTGGTCAGATCTTGTTGGTGGTAACTGTCTTGTTGCTGATGGGTGTTGAACAGAGATTTGATGATAGTCTTCATCTCTGTGTAGCAGACTGGATTTTCTTCCTGTTATTGTTCAGCACCATTCTTTGCTAATTTATCGGCTTGTTCATTACCCCAAACTCCACAGTGAGAAGGAATCCACTGTAGAACTGTTGTCAGACTTTTGATGGTGTATAAAGCTTGTTCAAGTTGAGGTTAAGCTTGTCGTTTGTCAAAGCTTGTAGCACAGAGAGGGCATCAGTCAGGAATACTACTTGAGTTGTGTTATCAATTTTGTTTTTGATGGAGTGTGCAGCATGAATAAGGTCTTCTTCAACTTAGTAGTTTGAACAATGTAGGCCTGTTGGTATTGCTTCTGATTGTTGATCTCAGTTGGGGTACTTAATGTATATACCAGCCCCTCCTTTTATTGTGGCATTTGCTTACCCAGGAGTCTGAAGGGTACTTGTCTTCAAGCATACTCATTGTAATTACACATGATCTGATATGTTTTAGTCAGATAAATCATTAAAATAATATTTAAAAACAAAAAATTGTATTTGTACATGGTGTATGATCTGACAAGTTTTATTTATATAAAAAAAAAAAAATGATATTGAAAAACAAAAGCATGTCATATCAATTAGATATGTTTAATGTAAACTATGTACAGACCAACCATTGTATAGTTTTTGTATGTCAGACAACACTGAAACTCGAAATAAATTTAAATTTAGGTCTATTCAATTTCTAACTGTATCAGCGTATGTAAACTAAGTCAAGACTGAGTGACAGTAACTTAATTTAAAAGTTTAATCATTTAGAAACAAGTAAATAGTACCGAAATTTATACAAATATACATCATTTAATGTTTAAAATATATACAGAAAACAAAGAGAACAGATACCTTTACACGATAGGTAAACAACCGTTAATGCAATATCCTTCTAGCGAGTTTTGTCTGGTACAGGTGGGATTTGTTTACGTTTTCGAGGCGAGGTGTCCGCCATATTGGATTTACCGTTATACTACCCCTTGGGATTTCAACAGCATTTTTCATACCAAGAACGGTTTTGACAGATTGGCATATATATATACTTATTTTAAGGGATAATTACTGAACATTTGTATATAATTTTGATGGATGTACTCGGTTTTATAAGGAAATTGTCGCTTCTGCAATATTTCACAATCTCCGCTCCTTGCGTTTCCGCCATGATATTTGTAATATAGACTGTAGTAAAGTGACGAGGGATATCGAAGATAAAATTCCTACCATGTATCCATTTCTATAACATGGACAAGCACGATAAAATCACCGTTCTTCCGATGGTATAAAAGTGTGACGAAATTTTGGCGCGGCGCGAAAATTCAATTGGAGTTATCTCCCCCTAGCTTGGGCATAGCTACTGTGGCAAATATTTTACTCATATTATAATTTTCGACCTCCATTTTCATGTACATAGTGCCACAGTTCCGGAATATTTCACACTCCGGCACCAGAGTCTTTCCCGTAAACGGAAGAAGAAGAAGAATTACGAATCCTATACGATTCTGTACCCGGTCTTTTCGTTTCCTAATATTTTTCTTTTAATGTGTGTTATTATTGAATATATAAGCCTATGACTTCCAACTCTGAATTGTCTGTAAGAGGATGGCTTCATTGCAAACCCTAGCTAGCTGTCATATCTTTGTTGTTCTCAAATTGTCAACAAGTTTTACCACGGAATTAAAATGTAGATCGATTAGATTGCTCTCTAAGTCTGTGGTTTTACCCATATAGGTGTCCAGCAGTGGAACAAGGTCCCTTACACCATACAGGGGTCCTCCTTTAAAGCGTCTTCAACCGACAACAAACGTCTTCAAGTGACAACAAACGTCGCCAGGCAGACAAAGGGGGAAAATACAAGCCAGAAAACTACCGCCCAATATCATTGACATGTATTTCTTGTAAACTTTAAGTCTTATGGAACATATCATCACCAAACACATTATAAACCATCTTGAAAATAACAGTCTAGATCCTGTGAAACACAACTCATTTCATTCTTTCAAGAAATCGCAGCAAATAATAACAGCAACACACAAACAGACTTAATTATAATGGACTTTGCCAAAGCATTTGACAAAGTTCCTGATAAAAGATTGCTCTATAAATTAAACTATTACGGTATCCAAAATGAAACACTAAACTGGGTCTCTGCCTTTCTAAGTAACAGAACACAAACAATTGTCCTGGATGGAGATCAAAGTCATCTGACCTGGCTTCTGTCACCTCAGGTGTCCCTCAAGTCACAGTTCTGGGCCCAGTATTATTCTTGGTATACATTAATGATCTACCAGAATACTTGTCATCCAGTAAGCTCAGACTGTTATCAAATCCTAAAGTGACTGTGATGCACTACAGTTGGATTTAGATGCAGCTGCTAGGTGGGAGCAAGACTGGTTGATGGCTTTCCATCCAGACAAATGCACAGTCCTTACAGTCTCACAAAAGAAAAAACAATTTAAACATGACTATATTCTCCACAATCACAAACTTGAACTGGTCTCTTCAGCTAAATATCTGGGCATTACACTACAAGCAAACTTAAAATGGTCAAAACACACAGACAACATCATAACTAATGGCAACAAATCTTTAGGCTTCCTAAAAAGAAATTTAAAAACATTATGTCAGAACATCAAGACTCAAGTATATCTGGAGCTAGTTCGACCAAAACTGGAATGTTCATGTACAGTATGGGACTCACACAGTTGAACAAACTTCTAAAATCAAGATGGTCCAACGACGAGCTGCCAGATATGTCTGTAACAGGTACCATAACATCAGTAGTCCTACAGATATGATAAATTCATTAAACAGCTGGCCAACACTACAAGAAAGAAGACTACGCACAAGATTAATAATGTTCTACAAAATAGTCCATCAAATTGTAGCAATCCCATCTGCTATTCTCATACCATCAGACAGTAGAATCCCAAAAAATCATAATTTCACTTTCACTTTTCCTTATACATGTACCATAACTCAATGGAATGTATTACCAATCCATACAGTCACTGTCACAACCGTCGACACTTTCAGAGAACAGCTCACACCAGCTATTCTCCACAAATTCATTTAATTTTCATAAGCCTATAGTTTTAATCACAATTTAAAATTTATGCATTCCAAATTCATTTTCATAATTTTTGGTATTCTTGTAAATATATATATATAGGCCATTCTGCGCAAAACTGTAATAATCTTCAGATCATTGAAGAACTACTGATAACCTAAAGAAGAAGAAGAAATCTATGAAAATACTGCATAAAGTAAGCGACATCAGAAGATATGTTGTTAATATGACTATAATACACCGTTATACCAAATTTCAATTTGATATTTGAAAAATTGACCGAGTTATGATGAATTGAATTTTATGATCTGCGGCGTGGCACGTGTGTGTATTAACCTGTACAGTTAGAAAGCGTCGCCAGACAATATCTTTAAAAAATCTTATTAAAATAATTAAAACAACATCAGAGAATATGTTACTGATAAGGCTTTTATTGATATATATTCCAAATTTAAGCTAGATATATGAAAAAACGACCGAGTTATGATGGATTGAATTTTTACGATCGGTGATGTGGCACACGTGTGTGAATAAAACTCTGCAGATCGTGAAGCGTTTTCAGACTTGACCTCTAAGATTAACCTACATGTTTAAAGTAAGCGACATCATATGAATAATATGTCGTCTGATGTCGCTTACTTTTTAGATTATTTTTAGAGATATAGTTTGAAGTCGCTTCCAATCTGTAGAATTCTTTACATACGTGTGTAACGGGGCCGATCGTTAAAAAAAAATCAAATCATCATTACTTTGTTAGTTTTTCAAATATCAACCTGAAGTTTGGCACATAGGTGTATCATAGTCATATGAAAAACATATCTTCTGATGTCACTTACGTTAAGGTTAATCTTAGAGGTAAAGTCTGAAGACGCTTCACGATCTGCGGACCCAGAGTTCAATTCACACACTGTGCCACGCCGCCGATCGTAACAATTAAATATATCATTACTCGGTCAATTTTTCAAATATATAGCTGAAATTCGGTATATAGGTACATGAAAGTCGTCATATCAATAACATATCCTCTGATGTCGCTTACTTAAGTATTTTTTTTCAAAGATTTTGTCTGGCGACGCTTTCTTAACTGTACAGGTTAATACACTCCCGTGCCACGCCGTAGATCGTAAAATTCAATGCATCATAACTCGGTCAAATTTTCAAATATCAAATTGAAATTTGGTATAGAGGTGTATTATAGTCATATTAACAACATGTCGCTTACTTTATTCAGTATTTTACAAGAATTCGTTTGGCGACGCTTGTTGTCGGTTGAAGACACTTTTTAAGGGTGACCGCCATACAGTGTTTACCAAAGGTGGGCAGGAGGTAAAGTCACAGGTCAATCATGCCACAGATTGGCAATCATAAGTGGAACGCATAGCATATTAACATATATCCATCCTAGCTTTTATTGCTGAATACTAGCATTAAGGGTTGACTTTAAAGCTCATCTGATATTCAAGTGAAAATTATAGACAAACTAAGTGATATTCCTTGGAATATTTATTTGGCCATGAAAGCTTTAATTTGTTTCCTCTTACTGGTANGGGGGGGGGGGGGGGGGGGGGGGGGGGGGGAATTAGGAAGGGAATGTTAATATATTGTATTTTATTTGAGTTTTTATCAAGGTTTTTATATATAGAGATGGAAATCTGAGTTTGCTAGCTATAGTCCTTCCAATAAAGTCTATACCAATAAGACTGGCAGAGACTGCACACAGTTGTAAATTGTAAAAGATGGTTTAAATCAGTTGGAACTTATATTAATAAATCACCAATACAAAATTTGATATTGTCAAAAGATTCTACTGATTTTTTGTCAGGTTTGCTGATTAAGATTTTTTTTAACAGGAGCTACTAGCATTGCGTAGAGTATTGTTGGCCCAAACTTCATCTTTTCCTGTCAGTGGTGCAGATATGTACGAAACAGCGATGGTATCCACTTCCATTCTTACTACAGGCTGTACCAGGTACTATATATATATATACATAATTTTATATTGTTTGTAACATGCTTTTTCATTGATTTGTGTTTACAGTCTATCAAGTGATAGACCGAAAAAAATGAGGACATATTTTAATTACCCGATATATAAAGTCACACATGAACAATCGTTTGCATTCATCTTTTAACATTGAAAATTCACTCAATTTTAGAACAGATGACATTGAAATACTCCCGACGATTAGCAAAGATTTATAACATGGGCTATTAGTGTCATTATAGGAGAGAATACAGGTAAATGATCCTGTTGAAAGCTTCGGTCAACAAGATGGTGCATCATAGTGCATGTGCGGCATTTCTAACATAAAAATTATTGCAGCATTCATGAAAATACTATTTTTGGTGTAAATTAAAATGACACATATTTTGTGCCAAAAAATATTTTCCTTCTCATTTCATAATTAAATTTCCCGGTTTATTCATAGTGCACTTTGGTTTTCGGGCTATTCATTAATAATTTATCGTCTAATCCTATCCTTAAATAAATTCTAACAGGTATACATACCATATCAATAATCAAAACATATCTTTCTCTAGTTGTAAGCTTGCTATGCCAGTTTTAAGTATGCCAGTCACAGTTATGAATAAATATATGTCAACAGTTAAAAAAAAAAAGAAGGGTTTTCAATATTTTAAAAGTAATTTCATGTAAACATGTAAGAAATAACATGCTATACACTGTAATAGTGAATATTTTACATGAACCAATATATATGGTAGGTATAGCAAAAAATGGCCGAATAAGTTCAAGACTTTCCTATTTCATGTATCTTGAAATGGCTTTTGATGAAGTATGCAATTGCAACTTGTATACATGATAAATACATATTTGTATATTTCCAGAGTTGATGACTTGCTAGATGGAGGACTATACACAGGTGAGGTGACAGAGATAGCTGGGGAAATTGCAGCAGGTAAAACACAGGTGAGCTAACCTTATACATGAAATATGCTTGATTTATTGTTTTTAGCTCATGTGAGTGAGCTATTGCCACCCGTCTCTGTCCTTTGTGTGTAAACTTAACATTTTTGACTCTTTCTCAAAATCTCCAGAACCATTTTCAATACAATTTTGCAGAAAGATTCCGTAATCAAAGGCAAACCAAAAGGGGTCAAATTGGCAAACATTTCAACAATCTTCTTTTCCAGAGCGAGATATGCTGGAATCAAATACTCTTCATGGATGGAACGTTCTTAAAGTGCTTTATCAAAATGTGAATTTCAACCTATGTCACCCATTCTCCCCTGGGGAGGGGGGTCAAGTTTTCTATAGTTTATATAGAGAAATAACAATTTTGGGTATATTTTGGTTTTGGTAACCAACCTTATCCTGATCTACACAGTACATACCACTGTTCTTCCTTGACTAGAGATTGTTTGAGTGCTATATGGTCTGATCAAGATTTAAACTGAAAACCCTTTAAATTATCTAGACAAAGTGACCATTGGCTGTAATCGCCGGATGTCAATCCAATCCAGATCTGCTACCTATGTAGTAGCCACAGACAATAAGGGAAAATACTACCTTACTACATCTAGCTTTTACAGTGATGCAGTATAACCCTAGGAAGTGCTCAAAAGTTCAGCAACATCAAGCCATGTATGACCTCTTTCTTTTGTTCTGTATGACCTCTTTCTTTTGTTCTGTATGACCTCTTTTGTTGTTCTGTATGACCTCTTTCTTTTGTTCTGTATGACCTCTTTCTTTTGTTGTTCTGTATGACCTCTTTCTTTTGTTCTGTATGTCCTCTTTCTTTTGTTGTTCTGTATGACCTCTTTCTTTTGTTGTTCTGTATGACCTCTTTCTTTTGTTGTTCTGTATGACCTCTTTCTTTTGTTGTGGTTCTGTATGAACTCTGTCTTTTGTTGTGGTTCTGTATGACCTCTTTTGTTGTTCTCTATGACCTCTTTCTTTTGTTGTGGTTCTGTATGACCTCTTTTGTTGTTCTCTATTATCTTATTTCTTTTGTTGTGGTTCTGTATGTCCTCTTTCTTTTGTTGTTCTCTATGATCTATTTCTTTTGTTCTGTATGACCTCTTTCCTTTATTGTGGTTCTGTATGACCTCTTTTGTTGTTCTCTATGACCTTTTTCTTTTGTTTTGGTTCTGTATGACCTCTTTTGTTGTTATCTATGATCTATTTCTTTTGTTGTTCTGTATGTCCTCTTTCCTTTATTGTGGTTCTGTATGACCTTTTTCTTTTGATGTGGTTATGTATGAACTCTTTTTTTTGTTGTTCTCTATGATCTTATTTCTTTTGTTGTTCTGTATGTCCTCTTTCTTTTGTTGTTCTGTATGTCCTCTTTCTTTTGTTGTTCTGTTTGACCTCTTTCTTTTGTTGTTGTTCTGTATGACCTTATTTCTTTTGTTGTTCTGTATGTCCTCTTTCTTTTGTTGTTCTGTATGACCTCTTTCTTTTGTTCTGTATGACCTCTTTCTTTTGTTGTGTTCTGTATGACCTATTTCTTTTGTTGTGGTTCTGTATGACCTCTTTCTTTTGTTGTGGTTCTGTATGACCTCTTTTGTTGTTCTCTATTATCTTATTTCTTTTGTTGTGGTTCTGTATGTCCTCTTTCTTTTGTTGTTCTCTGTGATCTTATTTCTGTTGTTGTTCTGTATGACCTTTTTCTTTTATTGTGGTTCTGTATGACCTCTTTCTTTTGTTGTGGTTCTGTATGTCCTCTTTCTTTTGTTGTTCTCTGTGATCTTATTTCTGTTGTTGTTCTGTATGACCTTTTTCTTTTATTGTGGTTCTGTATGACCTCTTTCTTTTGTTGTTCTCTATTATCTATTTCTTTTGTTCTGTATGACCTCTTTCTTTTGTTGTGTTCTGTATGACCTATTTCTTTTGTTGTTCTGTATGACCTATTTCTTTTGTTGTTTTCTATGATCTATTTCTTTTGTTGTTCTGTATGACCTTTTTACTTTTGTTGTTCTGTATGATCTATATTTGGTTGTAGTTCTGTATGACTTTTTTTCTTTCGTTTTTCTGTATGAACTTTTCCTGGTTGTAGTTGTGTGTGACCTTTTTCTTTTGTTTTTCTGTATGATCGTTTTCTGGTTGTAGTTCTGTATGACCTGTGCCAGTTCAGTGATGTGCGGAGCTCGACAGAATGTTTTCTTCATTGACACGTGTGGTGCTCTGTCTGTAGAACGTGTGCTGCAGATAGCAGAACATTCAGGACAGGTATATACCCGGGCTAGTAATAGTGACAAACTCAAATTTTGTTGAATGACAAATAAAATATGTTTAAATAAAATTGAGTTGCGAACCATCTCAATTACGTATTGACTGAAGGTGGGGTACATGTAAAATTAAAACTGAGGTCAACATCTACTCCATATATAAGGAGGGGGAGGTTTAGCTCGTACAGAACCACCTCACACCCCTCATTTGGAACAGCCCAGAGTTAGCATGAGGATCATTATCTGGATAGGAAGTATATTTTACAGTACTGTCGATGTCATATAATAGCATGGTAAATATTGTATATACATGTATATACACAGTTAGTTTATACTGAAAATCTAGTACTGGTATGTACATGGTAGAACTTCACCATTTTTGACTTTTAATTATTGGCTTGACCAATCTGTGTAAAAGCTTACTTACTGCCTGCCCAAGGAAATGTAGATTAAGAAATTGTTTGTAAACCAGGAAAGAAAATACCCAGCACTATTTCATGTTATACAATTTAAACATGTCTGCTTACCTTGGTTTCAGGAAATAGAAGAATCCACATTCCAGAGAATGAGATGTCATCAAGCATTTGACATCTTCTCTTTGCTATCAGAACTGGAAAACCTCAGATGTCTAATTTTACAACAGGTTTACAAACACTATTATATATCTGAGCATAGAAATGATGAAATAGTATAGCTTAATTTAAGTTTTACAATTACTTGAGTGCTTATCACATTGATTCTGATGTTCTGAATTATGTTGTTTGCATTTTTTGCTGTTTTCATTTTAAAGGCTTATATACATTATGCTGTAGTAATTAATATAGGGTGCTACAGTTTAATGTACTTCTACTTTAATTGGTGAAACGATGTGACGTATTAATGTCTATCACAAAGTTCTTATAGGGAACGTAACAAAATAAATACCAGCAGTCGCTCTACGTCCAAGCTTTCGGGCTTAGCCCTTCATCAGGGTCCTCACCGTATTCAAATATGGATGTGACATAAGGGTGAGGACCATCAATCCCTGATGAAGGGCTTAGCCTGAAAGCTTGGACGTAGAGTGTCTGTCGTTATTTAGTATGATGTGATGTAGTTATGCAACTATTTGTTTGGGTTTCAGACCGATGGTTTCTATAGTAACTTGAAGCTGCTCATAGTAGACAATGTGGCGTCAGTCATCTATCCCGTGTTGGGTGGTCAGCAGATGGATGGTAGGTCAGCTTCTACAGTCGGAGGAAACATTTTTTATTTTTAACTTTAGTTTGACCACTATACTGTTTTGACCTGCAGGTGTGCAGATGCATAATTATTTATATACATATAGATACAGCCCATGTAGAAATGGAAAGTTTGCCACAAATTCATGGCAAACAAATTGGTATTAAACCAGAAACTGTTGCCAGAAGTGTGAAGGTATTTATTTCGAGCAGCAACTTCCTGCCTTTACTTCCCATTTGTTTTGTGTAAGTATGCAGTAGGATATGTCTGGAAACTTCAGTATAGTTGAGTTGTTTACAAAAAGGACACAAATGCGTTTTAATTAATCACTTATAAAATATGAGACATGCTTTTTTTTGAAAATGTTTGTCAGTAGGTAAAATCATGTTTCCTTTCTTGTTTCACTTAGGACACGGACTAATGGTGACTTTGTCCAGAAAGCTGAAACAGCTAGCAGTGGAATGTTCTATAGCTGTCCTGGTAACAGTTACCTCCAACTATGTTGTGGAGCTTTACTTGATCTGTCCTGTTAAAAGAGTTTATTAAAAAAAAAATTTATTTTGATTCAGTTGACATTCAGTTGACATTCAGTGTCATTATAAATGCCAGATTGACAGAAAGCTAACTTTAACTGGTGTTTTACAGTAAATTGAATTCAGCCGTCATTCTACTAGTGAAGCTTTAGCAGGCAAACTTTTATTTCACACAGAAACAAATACTACATGGATTTCCAAATTAAATAGTTTCTATGCATTCGTGAACCATACTGATGTTATTGGGTTGTTGTTTATTATGTCTTTATATGTAAAGGTAAAACATAAGCCTCTGTTTCTTCATTTTCACAGATCACCAACAATCTGGTGGGCGGGGACTGGGATAGGAGCAGGTCAGCGGCTCTCGGGAAAACCTGGTCACATGTCCCACACACACGGATTGTCATCTCCACTAGCAATGGACAGCGACAAATCTCATTGGTTAAAAGTTCAAAAACGGTACTTCTCATCCCTTCAATTTGCCTGTTCTGTGTCCTATGTTTTGAAACCTAGAGTTTATTTATAAAGTAAACAACATATTTTGTAATGGTTTCATTTTAAACAGAGTATGTAGGAGGAAAACTTTAAAAAATAAGTTTTAATTGTCATCATTTAATTTTCTTGTTAAAAGTTCTATGGTTATAGTTGTGCTATGTTATCATTGAAAAACATCTTACCAGGCAATAGTCAGTAGCAAAAAAGGATTGACCAGGGTGGACTTTATATATATATTTTTTTAACCGAATTTTCACTTCTACTATTTGGTAATGGTAATGAAACTGAACCTGATTAATGTTGGAACACAACTATTATCATCAAGTACACCAGAGCCTCAATAATCCAACCCTTCCTGTCAAGAAGATAACGCAGCCACCTTCACTCCAATGAGATATTCCAACCAGTTTTGTTCACAGTAGACAATTCAGTCTCCTTCACTCCCAGTAGATAATCCAATCACCTTTGATTCAAGTAAATAGTCATACCAGCTTCACTCCCAGTAGATAATCCCACCACCTTTTATTCAAGTAAATAGTCATACCAGCTTCACTTCCAGTATAATCCAACCACCTTTGATTCAAGTAAAGTCCTACCAGCTTCACTTCCAGTAGATAATCCCTCCAGCTTCACTCCCAGTAGATAATCCCACCAGCTTTATTCCCAGTAGATAATCCCACCAGCTTCCCTCCCAGTAGATAATCCAACCACCTTTGATTCAAGTAAAGTCATACCAGCTTCACTTCCAGTAGATAATCCCACCAGCTTAACTTCCAGAAGATAATCCCACCACCTTAGATTCAAGTAAATAGTCATACCAGCTTCACTTCCAGTATAATCCAACCACCTTTGATTCAAGTAAAGTCATACCAGCTTCACTTCCAGGAGATAATCCCAGCAGCTTCACTCCCAGTAGATAATCCCACCACCTTTTATTCAAGTAAATAGTCATACCAGCTTCACTTCCAGTATAATCCAACCACCTTTGATTCAAGTAAAGTCCTACCAGCTTCACTTCCAGTAGATAATCCCACCAGCTTCACTTCCAGTAGATAATCCAACCACCTTGGATTCAAGTAAAGTCATACCAGCTTCACTTCCAGTAGATAATCCCACCAGCTTCACTTCCAGTAGATAATCCAACCACCTTTGATTCAAGTAAAGTCATACCAGCTTCACTTCCAGTAGATAATCCAACCACCTTGGATTCAAGTAAAGTCATACCAGCTTCACTTCCAGAAGATAATCCCACCAGCTTCACTCCCAGTAGATAATCCAATCACCTTTGATTCAAGTAAATAGTCATGCCAGCTTCACTCCCAGTAGATAATCCAATCACCTTTGATTCAAGTAAATAGTCATCCCAGCTTCACTCCCAGTAGATAATCCAACCACCTTTGAGTCAAGTAAATAGTCATACCAGCTTCACTTCCAGTAGATAATCCAACCACCTTTGATTCAAGTAAAGTCATACCAGCTTCACTTCCAGGAGATAATCCCAGCAGCTTCACTCCCAGTAGATAATCCCACCAGCTTTACTTCCAGTAGATAATCCCACCGCCTTTGATTCAAGTAAATAGTCATACCAGCTTCACTTCCAGTAGATAATCCAACCACCTTTGATTCAAGTAAAGTCCTACCAGCTTCACTTCCAGTAGATAATCCCACCAGCTTTACTCCCAGTAGATAATCCCACCAGCTTCACTTCCAGTAGATAATCCAACCACCTTGGATTCAAGTAAAGTCATACCAGCTTCACTTCCAGGAGATAATCCCAGCAGCTTCACTCCCAGTAGATAATCCCACCATCTTTGATTCAAGTAAATAATCATACCAGCTTCACTCCCAGTAGATAATCCCACCACCTTTTATTCAAGTAAATAGTCATACCAGCTTCACTTCCAGTAGATAATCCCTCCAGCTTCACTCCCAGTAGATAATCCCACCAGCTTTATTCCCAGTAGATAATCCCACCAGCTTCACTTCCAGTAGATAATCCCACCAGCTTCACTTTCAGTAAATAGTCATACCAGCTTCACTCCCAGTAGATAATCCATCCAGCTTCACTCCCAGTAGATAATCCCACCAGCTTTACTTCCAGTAGATAATCCCACCACCTTTGATTCAAGTAAATAGTCATACCAGCTTCACTTCCAGTAGATAATCCCACCAGCTTCACTTCCAGTAGATAATCCCACCAGCTTCACTTTCAGTAGATAATCCCACCACCTTTGATTCAAGTAAATAGTCATACCAGCTTCACTTCCAGTAGATAATCCCACCACCTTTGATTCAAGTAAACAGTCATACCAGCTTCACTTCCAGTAGATAATCCCACCAGCTTCACTTTCAGTAGATAATCCCACCTCCTTTGATTCAAGTAAATAGTCATACCAGCTTCACTTCCAGTAGATAATCCCGCCAGCTTCACTTCCAGTAGATAATCCCACCAGCTTCACTCCCAGTAGATAATCCCACCACCTTCACTTCAAGTAGATAATCCCACCACCTTCACTTCCAGTATATGACCCAACCAGCTTCATGATTCGATTCATTCTCAGTTGATACATTCATCTAAAGTTTGTTTCTAGTACTTTATCCAACAAGCTTCACTCCCAGTAGATGATCCAACCACCTTTGATTCTAGTAAATAATCGGGAGACTTTCTTTCCGAGCAGACAATCCAGCTACCTTCATTACAAACAAAACTGGCTTGAGACAGCTGGATAGCTGGCAATTATGTCCTGTAAAACAATGGCTGGATTATAAAACCAGATCAGTGGTGGAAGGATTAACGATGGTCACCTTTACCAGTTTGGTTATCTACAGAAAATATATCCTGTCTTGCCTATCTAAAGAAAATATAACCTGTCCTGCCTACCTAAAGAAAATATATCCTGTCCTGCCTATCTAAAGAAAATATAACCTGTCCTGCCTTTCTAAAGAAAATATATCCTGTCCTGCCTATCTAAAGAAAACATATCCTGTCCTGCTTATCTAAGGGAAATATATCCTGTCCTGCTTATCTAAGGGAAATATATCCTGTCCTGCTTATCTAAGGGAAATATATCCTGTCCTTCTTATCTAAGGGAAATATATCCTGTCCTGCCTATCTAAAGAAAATATATCCTGTCCTGCTTATCTAAGGGAAATATATCCTGTCCTGCTTATCTAAGGGAAATATATCCTGTCCTGCTTATCTAAGGAAAATATATCCTGTCCTTCTTATCTAAGGGAAATATATCCTGTCCTCTTTCAGCAAACTAACATGAGTGTAAGCTGTGTGATAACAGAAGCCGGGGTACGTGACAGTACTGATCATGGCTGACCAGGACAAGCAGCAGCCATCGCCATGTCAAAGGTTGTGTGTAGATCACATGCCGTTGCCACACTTGATCTCACCTAGAGGATGTTATCCAGCGACAGAAGCCAGGAGTGAGGACTACATGTACAAGGACATCCCTCCCTTCACTAGGAGCCCTCCATACTGTGTGCATCTGTTCTGTACAGGAACTGTTGCCTATTGTTTATGATGTTGATATTAATATTCAGCAGCCATTAATATACTATTTGACAAAATAATAGCGTAAAACAGTTTATTCTTTGCCATGAGTAAATTGAATATTCAAGTAAAAAGCAAGGTTATAGCATTTTGCAAAGTCAAAAATAAACGAGAAAAACAAAGCTTTGTTTCCTTCCAAAATATGGAAACATGATGACAGATGAGTATGGATACCTGCACATGTATGATTCTGTTCACAGACAAATATTTCCATTTTACTTGCAAAATAAAAGACAAAACTTGTTGCTCTTGACCTGTTTTTATTATTCCTTTAAAATAGTAGTGCATTTAAACCATCATCCATAGTTTCTGACCTGGTTGTAATAAATCTTTCCTGATTGATTATCTTAGATAAATAAAAACTTCATCCGGTTCCACTTGTTACATATGTGTATGTTAAAACCCGTATTGTCCCTCTATACTGTATAAAATAAAACACTTGTGGAAACTTGTTTGGTAGTTTTACAACCTATTCAACTACATACATATGTAATACAAACTTTCACTGTCTCCTAGTGGTACATTAGAACTTGAGCCAGCCATTCACTGTACTTAGAATTCTGACTCCACTGCATATATTTGCTGACCTTTAAAGTTTTTTTGAGGGAGCAACTGTGGCAAAATCTTTCAATGTCTAAAAAAATCTTTATACCTTTTTTGACAAAATGATAGTATAAACTATTCTAATTTAAGCTGTGCAAGTTCTATGCTATCTATTTACTGAATTTGTAGAAATTCTACTGCTTTCAGAAGTCAAAATTTGAAAGTGAACAATCAAGAGTTGCCATCCTAATTCTGAAGAGTTGGTAAGTGTGCCACTTCAATTACCCCAATCATACACAGTGAAAGTTTGTGTTTAATACAACTCAACGGAACATTCATCCCTTTCTGATAATTTTTCAATTAAAATACAAATATATATATATATATAATTTCTTATAAAAATATATACTACAGAGTAACATTTAAAATCGAAGACACACCCTGTAACATACTACATTATACAAAACATGTATATGTTATTAAACATAACTATAAAACCTGCTTAACCCGATCCTGTTAGCCAAGTGTTCATGTTTTTATTTCTTCAAGGTAGGAGAGGTTTGACACTCATCTGATTACTAAATAATTGGGTTTCTAAAGTATGTAACAAATGTTACTGCAAAACATTAATATCACTATAAATACATCACAGCTGATAAATGTCTTGGCTCCTTGTTTGTATGATACCAACATCAAACTCTGGTTACATCAGTAAACAGCTGACTAGTGTCTTGACTCGTTTATACCAATACCAAAATCCGGTTACATCAATTAAGTGATGACAAATGTCTTGGTTTCTATTTTTCTTTAACATTGATTGCACTTGTACACACATGATAATGTGTATTTGACTATTTCTTATTCATTAATCACAGATATGCACAATTCTGATTACACCTTCAAATACGTTTTAATCATTATAGAGTTAGGCCTTGGTTATATAATTCAGTCACCTATGCTTTCAATAGATATTCCTTTTACCTTCATTTTCAGTAAATAATCCAGCTACTACAGTTCTAAGATAATCCAGCCACCTTAGTTCTCAATAGATAATTCAGCCACCTTCATTCTCAGTAGATAATCCAGTCACCTTCATTCTAAGAAGATAATCCAGCCACCTCCATTCTCAATATATAATTCAGCCACCTCCATACTCAATATATAATCCAGCCACATCCATTCTAAATATATAATTCAGCCATCTCAATACTCAATAATAATTCAGCCATCTCAATACTCAATAATAATTCAGCCATCTCAATACTCGATACATAATTCAGCCATCTCAATACTCAATACATAATTCAGCCATCTCAATTCTTACTACATAATCCAGTCACCTTAATACTCGATACATAATCCAGCCACCTTAATACTCGATACATCATCTGATGGCTGGATAGTGGGACAACCAGATAAGTGGTGGCTAGATAGTGGGACAACCAGATAAGTGGTGACTGGATAGTGGTACAACCAAATAAGTGGTGGCTAGATAGTGGTACAACCAGATTAGTGGTGGCTGGATTAACATTGCTAGTTGGTAATAAGAGATGCACATATGATATTTGATTACACTTTATTTATGTTTTGATCATCAATTAAAAATAATTTGTTACATTTGTACACATAATCGGCTGCATTATAGATTTTTTGGTAAATCTGCATAAGAACATGACTTTGAAACATAAACATGCATTTTCAAAATTTTCTCCTTTATTGCATTTCTGTTAAAAATAACTACTGATAAATATATTGATATAATCACAATTTAATACTTATGTTTGACTTCTATCATAACTCTAAATTGTCAGTTTTGTGGCTTGTATCAGTTCCTGTATCCCCCTGGCTTCTGTCGGTTCCTGTATCAGGGGAGGACTGTGTCTTTCCCTGGGTTGCATCAGTTCCTGTATCAGGGGAGGACCGTGTCTTTACCTGGGTTGCATCAGTTCCTGTATCAGGGGAGGAATGTGTCTTTCCCTGGGTTGCATCAGTGCCTGTATCAGGGGAGGACTGTGTCTTTCCCTGGGTTGCATCAGTTCCCATATCAGAGGCGGTCTGTATATTTCTTTGGCTTGTATCAGTTTCTGCATCAGAGGAGGGTTGTATACTGTATATATTGTGGTACGTTTTCTTGTTGTAGGACAGGACGGGGGTGGGAACTATTGACAAAGAGCTGCCACGTGCAACATGTTCCTTATAACACTGTACAACAAACTTGTTGGTGTCGGTCAAAGAGGAGTGACTGGCATACTCATCAATCTGAAACACAAAGACACAAAGTTAATATATCTGTTAGGGAGGGGTGACTTTAAACTTATCTATTCTATTGTTAGTCCCTTTACTTTTTAGCCCACCATCATCTGATGGTGGGCTATTCAAATCACCCTGCGTCCGTGGTCCGTCCCTCCGTCCGTCCGTGGTCCGTGGTCTGTGGTCCGTCCTTAAACAATTCTTGTTATCGGTATTTCTCAAGAAGTACCAGAGGATCTTTCTCAAATTTTATATGTAGGTTCTCCTTGGTCCTTATAGCTGTGCAGGGCAACTTTTGAGACTGATCGGATAAACAACATGGCCGACAGGCAGCCGTCTTGGATTTTGACAGTGAAAGTTTGTTACCGCTATTTCTCGGGAAGTATCGCGGGATCTTTCTCAAATTTTATATGTAGGTTCCCCTTGGTCCTTAGCTGTGCAGGGCAACTTTTGAGACTGATCGGATAAACAACATGGCCGACAGGCAGCCGTCTTGGATTTTGACAGTGAAAGGTTGTTACCGCTATGTCTCGGGAAGTATCGCGGGATCTTTCTCAAATTTTATATGTAGGTTCCCCTTGTTGTGCAGCAGTGCCTGAATTGGACGGTATCCCGCTCGCCAATGGCCATTAAAGTCTTGCTCGGACAACCAAAAGTTGTCAAAAGTGAGGTAGTCACTGGCCCAACAAAAATAGTTTGGGTGACTGTTGAAAAATTTATGAATATAAGAAATTATAGTTCCTTCCCCATTAACTAGGAGGCAGTACATTTTTCAGTTGTCATTACTTCGATTTGAATCGATCTGTCTGTGATTTAGAAAATGTGATATTTTTTTTCAGATTTTCTATATAAAACACAGCCAGGTGTCTTCTTTGAGGTGCGAGTTTTGTGTATTTCTTTGGGAAACCATGGCAGGTTTTAACTAGGGTTGAAGAATTAAAAATATAATGTTTTATTCCGTTTTACATATGACAAACATTGTCATGTTATATATAATTAAAATGTGTTAAATGCTGTGGAAACATTTCTTCCCAAAATTATTTGGGCCACCAATATGTCATTTGGGCCAGTGCTTCAAATTTTTTACTCGCCCCAAAAAAATATTTTGAGCCAGCCAATGCAAGTTCCCCACTATCCTTTATTGTTCATGTTTACTTTTGAAACTGATCAGTTCAACAAAATGGCCTACCGACAGCCATCTTCTATTTTTGACATTGAAGGTTTGTTAGTACCATTTCTCAGGAATAACTTGAGGGATCTTTCTCAAATTTGATATGTAGGTTCCCCTTGATCCCTCGTTGTGCATGTTATATTTTGAGACTGATAATAAAAACAAAATGGCTAAAGGAAAAACTAAACAGATCTTTCTCATATTGCAATGATCGATTCTAATTCTTTCACATTAAGTACTGTACTAGTAAATATGTGAAATGACAAACTCACTTTGAAGATTGGCTTTCATACACATCAGTATTAAGTTTAGATCAAAAGTTACCTCAAGGTGCATTTACTGTTAACATGACTCGATCAAACAGATTAGAGGAAAGAAGAGAAAAGATCGAACTGACAAAGAACTAATGAAGGTACAATGGTGGGTGCCAAGATCCCTCTGGGATCTCTTGTATTATTGTGCAATTTAATATATCAGGAGCTATAGTTGAAGACATTATTTACAAATATGTAACATAATTGAATTTGCAATTGAGATAATGCTTTTTAGCAATACTACCATTGATAGCAGTTATCTCTAATGTTCACGAAGACTGAATTTGCAAATGTGTGAGTCCCCTTCTAAATGTGTGAGTCCCCTTCTAAATGTGTGAGTCCCCTTCTAAATGTGTGAGTCCCCTTCTAAATGTGTGAGTCCCCTTCCAAATCAGTAGGAAAGTTTATTTTTTCAAAAAACTAGAGTGATGAACAGTATGCTGGAAGTTAACATTTCTGACTACACAATCAAATTGAGCAAGTATTGGTGCTAAGTATGACATCATTTTATTATGCACTAGGCTTTGCTGGATATATTTAAGGATATTTCACAGAGAGATGTGAATTATTTAATTATTAAATATCACTAGTCAAATTTATTACATTAGCTACCTTATCATCCAACAGAATTGTTATACTTAGACACAGACTTACATCCATCCACTTGCACTCTGCTATTTCCTGGGGACAGGGTTTGATGGATCCACCTACTGCCTTCATCAGGCAGATGTAGTACCAATCGGAACAGCCGTAGCGAAAGTTATGTTGGTGACGGAATGTTAACACGGATACAAACTTGGCCTCCACTCCTGTCTCTTCAAACACCTCACGCTGAGATGTAACTGCCAAGTCCTCACCTGTGGTCAAACAACAGTTTATCAGCACTGCATCTATCTCTTTTTAAAGGATACTGTAGGACATTTTATAGTCACTGTAAATGTCTTGACAATAAGGACATTTATCAATATGATCAGCAAGAAAACTTCAGTCAAAAATTCAGGTCATAAGTTTGTATGTGTATTGATCTAATCCTACACTAGAGTTCTTCTTTCAAGCTCTTTATATACGTATCAAAATCTGTAAAAGAATCTTTACATAAACTGGCTTAAGTGCACTAAATGACAAATTTACCTTTCATTAACGCATTTAGAGTAAAGCTTACTAAAGGTCATTGCGATTGTATTACATGATACCTTTTTACCTATTTAGTCTTAGGTCAAGGTCACTGTGTCATTTGATACCTTTGCACCTCCTTAGCCTTAAAGGTCAAGGATTTATACCTCTGTAGTGAAGGTTGTGAAGACCTGACCCATTATACCTTCGTCGGCTGGTCTTCCTTATACCTCCTTAGCCTTAAAGGTCAAGGATTTATACCTTTGTAGTGAAGGTCATGAAGCCCTGACCCATTATACCTTCGTCGGCTGGTCTTCATTATACCTCCTTAGCCTTAAAGGTCAAGGATTTATACCTCTGTAGTGAAGGTCATGAAGACCTGACCCAGTATACCTTCGTCGGCTAGTCTTCCTTATACCTCCTTTGCCTTAAAGGTCAAGGATTTATACCTCTGTAGTGAAGGTCATGAAGACCTGACCCAGTATACCTTTGTCGGCTAGTCTTCCTTATACCTCCTTAGCTTTAAAGGTCAAGGATTTATACCTCTGAAGTGAAGGTCATGAAGACCTGACCCATTATACCTTCGTCGGCTAGTCTTCCTTATACCTCCTTTGCCTTAAAGGTCAAGGATTTATACCTCTGTAGTGAAGGTCATGAAGACCTGACCCAGTATACCTTCGTCGGCTAGTCCTCCTTATACCTCCTTAGCCTTAAAGGTCAAGGTTTTTTACCTCTGTAGTGAAGGTCATGAAGACCTGACCCAGTATACCTTCGTCGGCTAGTCCTCCTTATACCTCCTTAGCCTTAAAGGTCAAGGATTTATACCTCTGTAGTGAAGGTCATGAAGACCTGACCCATTATACTTTCTTTGGCTAGTCTTCCTTATACCTCCTTAACCTTAAAGGTCAAGGATTTATACCTGTGTAGTGAAGGTCATGAAGCCCTGACCCGTTATACCTTCGTCGGCTAGTCTTCCTTATACCTCCTTAGCCTTAAAGGTCAAGGATTTATACCTCTGTAGTGAAGGTCATGAAGCCCTGACCCATTATACCTTCGTCAGCTAGTCCTCCTTATACCTCCTTAGCCTTAAAGGTCAAGGATTTATACCTCGGTAGTGAAGGTCATGAAGACCTGACCCATTATACCTTTGTCGGCTGGTCTTCCTTATACCTCCTTAGCCTTAAAGGTCAAGGATTTATACCTCTGTAGTGAAGGTCATGAAGCCCTGACCCATTATACCTTCGTCGGCTAGTCCTCCTTATAACCTCCTTAGCCTTAAAGGTCAAGGATTTATACCTCTGTAGTGAAGGTCATGAAGACCTGACCCATTATACCTTCGTCGGCTAGTCTTCCTTATACCTCCTTTGCCTTAAAGGTCAAGGATTTATACCTCTGTAGTGAAGGTCATGAAGACCTGACCCAGTATACCTTCGTCGGCTAGTCCTCCTGGTAACTTCCAGTGTTTGTGACTGATGTTGAACCTCTCCTGTATCACCAGTACCTGGTTGTCATCATTGAGGACAAAGCCTGCCACACCTTCAAATCCAACACACCATCAGATAACTACAGATTTC